CACTTACTGCAGCCAGTAGAGTGATTAGGCTGAGTGAGGTCACCTGTGCCTGATTGGACAGAGTGGAGCCTTCAGTTTGTCTAGTGTTTTTGTTTCTACCTAAAGAGTTAAAATAAAACAATAAAACAAGTTTCATGTTTCCTGTTGTTAGTTGATATTAGGCTTTAGCTCCCACTTTAAATATTATCATGATATGTTGCTGTCTAATGGTTTATTGTTGTTTCGGGGGGGGGGGCTTTGTTTCTTTGGCTTCCCTTTACTCCTGAAATGGTTTGCTCCAAATAGGGCGGGGCCAAGAGAAGCATAAAAGTAGACTCAGCCAGAGTCTGGGGGAAATATTGTTGTTTATTAACAGCCTGCTGTGACGCTGTGGTTTCTTTCACTTTGTTAAGTCTAGTTGCTTTTTATTAATCTACCCAGGACTGATGTTATTGCTTCTTTGTGCATTTTTGGTTAATAAATCTAATACTCTAATACTAATCTAATAGCAAAAATGTCTTACTCCTGAGCAATTCTTCTACAGGAACTTCTTTTTACTCACCACCAGAGCTGAACAGCCACACTTTTTCACACAATTTTTCATGTAGACTAACAAGCAGTTATGCTACACTTAATTAATAAATACAGATAATTATGCAAGCTGCAAAGTTATTATTTTCCTCATACAGAGTGTTGTATTCATTACATCGCCGTCACTGATTATTGGCAGGTCTGGGTTTATAGATCCTTTGTTCTTGTTGAATCCGCTTGATGGTTTGACACGAGAAGTCATGAGAAAGACTTTGGGTTAAACCAAAAGCTTCTAAAGTTCACGTTGTTATCTGCTCTATGACGTTTGTTCTCTTCACTATCATTCTCAATTTACATACTGAAGCACTCACGTCAAAAGAAGAGATAACAGTTTACATAATACAGAACTCTGTTATTTAAAGACCAACACCTTCAGTTTATAGCTTGGAATATTGTATATGTTTAAAACAGCAAAAAAGGAGCACATTCAACTGTAATAACATTTTTCATGTGCACGACCGGAACAAGACTAAAGAGAGACAGAAAAGTCAGCAGGCGAAATGTCCTTCAGAGTTTGTTGTATCTGGGTAGAGCGTACAGATCAACAACAGACACGTTTCAGCACATACATTATTTTGCCTAAATATATGTAATAAGTAAAAGAGATAGAGACCTACTTGTGGAAACAAATCAACAAATACATCTCAGTTAGGTGATTTATCTATTATTGGATGGATCAGCTGTTTAAGTTTAAACAAAATGTCTCCAGCTTCTAAGACTGGGACGGTTCTCTCTGTCTTTTAAAATATTGGCTGGACTTCAACGTGTGATTTGAAAGCATCACTTCTTGACAATGTTTCACATGTACTTTAAACATATCAATATTCATATTGCTGTATTTGTGTCTAATATTAAGTACAAAATAACTAACTATAGACCGCAAGTAATGGTGGATTAGTTAGACATCTGCTGGTGATTAGATGTGATATTAAGTTTTTTTTATGGATATTTTATTCCAAAATGAATAGTAATAACGATCAGATTATTAAAAAAATAAAAAATAAAATAGTTTCTAGCTGCAGCCCTCGAGTGAGTCCACTAACTTGAAGTTAGTCCATGCTTAATTACCCTCCTGTCATAACACGGACTGCTCCATGTGCTGCTCCAGTGTTTGAATCTGTAGTGAAATCATTTTGCCAAAAAGAAACTGAAGTAATTCACACTCATCATTAATTCAAAACAATTTAGTTACTGCAACACATGTGCTTTTTTCTTTAGCAGAGGAACTCAAGGATGCTCCCGGCAAGACTCTCAGTCACATTATTTAAAACAAAAATACAGACACATATCCCTGAGATATGGATTATAAAGAATGCAGGACACAATAAAGCACAAGAAGAAATCAGAGAGGAGGCAGAAATGAACCTGAGTCGAAGCTCGTCAGATCACTATTGACCTGCTCCAATGTGACTGCTGATTGTGAAAATCAGCTGATAGAGAGCCAAGCGCTTCATTAACAAGACGGTTCCCGATGCCTGCTGGGAAATTACCTCCTCTTTTGCCCCCTCCTGCAAGATAAGGAACACTTCAGCGTGTGCAATCAGGTGTATAACCTGGTCCTCTGTTTAAAGCAGCGGACCTCGGTGTCACTCTGGATTGCACTTGGCGTGGTACTTACATCCTCTTGTCCTTTGTGACTGTGAATGTGTCAGAACGAGTGGAAAACATGGACAAATCATTAGAGATAGTTTCTTTAGGAGAAGAAAAAGAGCATTCAAAGACGAGAGGTCTGTTTCTGGGATGCCCTGGGATAGCGAAGTCATGCTTTGCTGCTTTTTGCACAAATAAGAAAAATGTGACCTGGCCATGAAGGTTGTGTTCCCTGTGAGGCCATTTGTCATATCAGCTAACGCTCAGCCGGTCCTCTTCAGAGCAGTGTGCTTTTTTTAATCACTTTTTTTATTAGCACATAAAGAATATATTCTTTTGTCTCTTATTCATTCTTCAGAGAAGTCTCTAGGATAATGTCTCTTTGGATTTCTAAGTGGAGCTCGTTCCCGTCAGGACTTTGCACAGAGATGTGTTAAGTCTCGCAGCATAGCTGAAGCCACTTACATCATAGTACATGGACTTACTGCATCTTAACTGTTGCAGGAGTAATGGAGACTGTTGAGTTAAGAAGGCCGATGGCTTCTTGATCTACAGCTGTGAATTTCTGTTAACTATTAACAAATATCGAGAATGTCGTTTCCTACCAGCCTGTTTTTTGCCAAATCCCTGTTTCTCTACTGGATATGCTCTGTGCCCTGAAGCTCAGAGGTTATCCAACTCCTTTACAAATGCCTCATTGTACCAAACTGCTGCACTCTGCTCATATGTTCTTTACATTTAGTGCACAAAGCACAGCGTAGAATCTCAAAGGTACATGTGCAGAAATCCATCCAGAATTTAGGGGCGTTTTGAAAGGCTGTAAATAAAGGTTTTCTATTATAAAATAAAGTTCAGAACCTTCAACTAAAGATCCTTAAACCACAGAAATAAATACTATGAGGAAGTAATAGGGCCACATTAAAGGGGGAAAAGGAGAGATTTAAAGATTAAAAAGAAGAACCTCAATGTTCCCAGATAGCAAGAGAAGAAAGTAATACATTAACAAGAATAAAGTCATAAATTCAAGAAATCAAAGTCATAAATTTAAGACATTAAAGACGTACATTTACGAGAATAAAGTTGTTATTTTAGCGGACAGTTTTTTTTCTCTCTACATTTTTATTTCCACCAAAGAGGTTATATTACAGTTCTAATCCTTCTATATAAAATGTATAGAAACATAACATACTTTGAACAAGCCAGCCAGTCAGAGTCCATCGATATCATATCAGTATATCAGAAGAGCAGCAACCATCCGTACAAAACTGAGGAAACGTGAGCCTCTTGTGAAGTTATACTTTAGTTTAGGTTTCACAAATAAGGAAATACTTTATCATTTGGAACATCAGCGTCACATTGTCTTAAATATCAGGACCCTAAAAAGATACCGCAAGAAACTGAGGCTTTTCTGAGGAAAGATCCACACCGACTTGGAGGACATTTTTACTCTGTGGCAGAGGAAATGTCACAAAGAGGGTTCCTCTTTCATCGTTTTCATGCAGGCTGATGACTGTTCTTCTGATACAACCTTCAGAATAATCATTTTGAACAAAGCCTCGTTTAAATCCATTTTCAAATTCAATATCGCAAATTAACGACTTTAATCTAGACATTTTAGTTGTTTTTTTCTTCAACATGGCCTTACTACTTTGTCGTAAAATACTGAAGATGCTACCAGCGAGATTGATTTTCTTCATCAGCGCATTCATACTGAGACTCTACTATTCCTTAACTTGTTGATGCACACTTTTAAGAGGGCCCACTTTTTTTGTTCTTGAAAATATATATTTCCATATAAACGTTTTCACATCTCCGTGACTAAGTATGTCAGTTAAAATTAAATCTTTCTTTTTTCAAATCGTGTGAAGATTGGAAATGTGCATGTTTCATAAGTCTGATAAGCATCTATACTAAAGTAGTTTAAATGAATACAAAAGTGCTTAATGTGCATCTGTCCACTACTAAAGATTGTCCCTTAAATGAAGCTTTAGCTCTTATTTGACAGAAGTTTTAGAAGTACTAAACTGACACATTATTAAAGGTTAACATCCTTAGTAGAAACCTTTTAGCTTCAGTATATAAGTCATTGTTTTTAAATGTTTTCATGGAATTTTGAGGCGAGAAAAGAGTAGAATAAGTTGTAATGAGTTGGAGCTGTAGCCGAAGTCCTTTGTACTTTTCCCCTTCTGTCAAAAGTTGCAGCTTAGAAGTAAAGGGAGGACCTGCGGGGTCAGAAAGTTACGGTTAAGAATAGAAAGGTTTCTGTCTCGTGGGCACACATCCTTCTTCTTTTTTCACTCCACAAAGAGATCGTGTGTCCTCTACCTTTGTCGCTCTCTTTCTCCTCCATTCGCAGACAAACCCATTCAGGACTCGGTGATTAATTATTTACCCCGGCAATGAAATGCCAAAGCCAAGAGAAACACACCACCAGGAGAGAAAGGTCACACACAGACATACACGCACACACAGCAGTGATGGATGGCAAAAACATCTTTATCGTTGCTTCGGGCAGACACGATTTTCATCCTCGTGTCCAAACAGGAGAGACCAAGGGCGAAGCTAAAACTTGACTGATGAGCTGAAACCTTCAAGAGAAGCTCTCATTTAAAAACCACTCACATGTCAGAGGTGCCGAAGCGGCCGATCGATGGCGGCCTCGGACTCTGTCAAAGTATCTGTGAAACTTTAACCTTTCCTTGATGAGCCTTTCAGAGACACTGATTGTTAAAATGTCACCGCCTGAAAATGATACATGCAATGTTTTCAAGTTTATTCAGTTTGTTTGGTTGACGGGCGTTTGTGTGATCAAAGTCTCATTTGAATGTCTCGTTCCACAGCTCCACGACACAGCGAGCCAAATGGGGTGCCAATGCTGCAGGATGATAAAAGGGTGAGAATTGTTCCTAAATCTTCATTTTGATAGTTCTGTGCTACCTTTCTGTCTTATACAAACCTTGATGACTTGTTGTAATAAGTAAACAGTCGTGTTTTTTGATCATTTGCTGTTTCCTCACAAAGCTGCTAGCATGGCTGTGACTCTTTACAAGCGTTCAGAGAAGCAGTGGCGGCATGTGCAGGAAATTAAAATTAAGCGTATATTTATGTAAGTTCAGAATTTTAATTTGATCTACTGCTTCACTCGACACTGTGTCACTTCAACCAATCAGGGTTTAGGCTTCTTGACTTCCCGAAGGTGTTCACCCACTGCACCCAACCACCTGGCAAATCTTTCAACAGACCAACACCCCTTTCTAAACAGTATATCAGTAAATTTCATTGTATCGATCATTTTGACATATCGAGGGAGAAAAGCTGTTCAAAAGAGGCGGTCTCTGGGTATTCCAGCAAGCTTTGAGAAGTAAATCAGACGGTTATAATACACATTGAATGGGGGCGAATTTTCAACTTCTCTCCGTTGCATTTAGTGGGTCTCTAATGATTCATCAGAGATGACTGTTCAAACCTCCATTCAAAATACAAGCATTTAAAAGTTGTTTTCTGGGGTGCAGATGGCCCAGCAGTTAGGAAGCGCCACATGTAGGGATGTTAAAGCCCTCCATGCGGGTAGTACGGTTCAAGTCCGACCTGTGGCTCCTTTCTGGCATGTCATTCCCCACTCTGTCTCTCTGTTTCTCTCTCTCCCTGGTTTCCAACTCCATCCACTCTCCTATCACATAAAATCTAAAATAAAAAAGGTTGCTTTCTTCTCAAAATGAAGTCAACAAAATATGACTTTTTTTTACAAATATACATCATGATGTTTTATCAGCAAAGTTTCCATCCATTAAATGCACAGTATGTAAATACCGCCACTAGGGGGCTCTCAATCAAAACAATAACAAAAGCTGACATCGAGGCTGGAGGGGGAGGACCCTGCTACCCCACATAGCATTCTATATATTGTCCGTTTAAAAGCATTTCAATCTAAAGAATATCGTGTTTATCTGCGGGAGTCAACCGGAGTGCAGCTTCAATTTTTAAAGTCAAACTTAAACTCATCAGTAGTTGGTTTCAATCAGAGAATTCTCTGGTGGATTTAATAAATCAATAAATCAAGGCGTTTATTTCGTGGTCGTAACAGGAGGGGTGAATATCTGTGGTCCTTTTTAATCTGACCCCACCTTCATGAATTTAAAATGCGCAACACAAATATTGTTTTCGCTCTCAGTCTGAACACAGCTTTAGTGTTGTGAGGAGATAAAGTCCTGTCACATTCAGTTAACTAATAAGTGCTGATTCAACGTTTGTACGAAGCCGAAGTGTTGGTTTAATCTGTCTGAGTGTTGTATTAGTTCGCATTAGCTTGCCCCTCAGTTAGCTTAAACCTCTGATCATTGTGTAGAACTGTGGTCCCCCTCCTCAGTAACAACCTCTCACCTTTGATTTCTTATCTGCAGCTCCACCGTGTTTGCTCGGCCACATTAATGATTTCTTGTCTTGTTTCATGCAGATACTGAGAGGTCCATTTATAATACGTCTACACTCTCAACCTCACGTGGGAGTCAATATGCCAATAGCCGTCACCCTTGGTTACTGTATTTCTCCGCGCCTCTGTCTTTTCATTAAAGGCAGACATGGCGTTGTTGTCAGGGCTCGACGTCCCTCTGCTTCTCGAGGACAGAGACGAGACATAATCGGAGCGGGAAACAAGATTTTGATTGCAGATTAATGAAAGGGCACGCTGTGACTCGCATACCAGAGTCGTAATCCCCCCCTTCGACACTTTTTTCCCCCCATATCACCGACACACATATGAATGCTTGTGACACACTCACACACACATACCTCCCTAATTGTCTGGAGTGTCACATTTCTGGGATTAGAGGTGTTTCGAGTTTGGCAGGGTGGGCCTTTAGGTTACTGGGTCAACAGAGCAGTTTTAGTATCAGCTCGGCTGACACTCAGACATTACCGACAAGCAAACTTTTTTATTGTGTTAGTTAATTAGAAAACTGGGAGAATTAAATCAGTAATATCAATCTTCTCCTTCACATATCGAAACACTTTAAGGACAGTCAATGTGAAATGCCAGAGCAACAATGAAAATGTAGATAAGCAACTACATTTAGTTTTAAGGGGCAGCTCATGTATACATGTATCGCCCGCTTGTGCAAATTAAGCTGCCCCAGAGTCACCTATTGGGCCTTCTCTGCCAAAGATACAAAAAATAATTAATATTCCATTTTAAAGGTCACATCCTCACATATCCTCCTTTTTCAATAAGTTTAAATAAGTCTCAGAGCTCCCCAAAAACATGTCTGTGAAGTTTATTTTAAAAATCCACTCTGATCCTGTATTTGATCATGTCTATAAACCCCTCTGTTTCAGCCCTGCTCAGAACAGGCTGTTTCTGTGTCTGTAGCTTTAAATGTAAATGAGCTTTGTTTGACCACGCCCCCTCTCTGGAAGGTCTTGTGTGGCTCTGGCTTTCTTGCACTGCACGATTTTTCATGGTTTCTTACAACAACAAAAAAATCTGACACATTGTGCTGCGTTTTGTGCCTTTTGTCATATTTGCCTCACTCTGCTACACCATAGGAGGAAAAAAACAGAACGATTGTAGCAACCAATCTGAGTCCTCAGACTAGACTGAGTGCCCTGATAGGATAGCATGCCTCCTGTCGATGATAAAAATACAGTTTCATTTTTCGCTTTTGTCCACCCTTATGAGTCACTGACCTTTGGAGAAAGAAAACACCTTCTCTGTGTCTGGCTTTTTCTGAAAGTGCAAATTTGACCTTGGCAGCCAGGACACAGCATCAGCGCTGCCCAGGAGTTAGAGAAATGGAAAACATTCATTTTCTCAGGTTTCCACTGTGCAGGGAAACAGAGGGAGGGAGGCAGGCTGAGAGAGAGGTGCTCAAGTCAGAGGGTGACCGTCTGTGCGTGTTAGATTGTCGCCATAAACGTGTAGGCGGGAGCTGTTTGTGTGTATGTCTGCTCACCAGAATAAATCAATACATGTGAAAGTTATCTGCTTAAGTCTGAGCAGTGTGAAGTCAAGCCAGAAGAGGATGAAAAACACTAGAGGACAAGTTAAAGAAAGTGGAGGCGGGAGTGAGACAAAAGATGGAAAAAAGCTCGAGGGGAAAACACTCAAATCAAGGAGAAGTCGAGAGCAAAAGGAGCGTAGATTAGGGACTATGTTGCACGGACGCTGAGAAGAAGACGAGGAGGGGGAGGAGGAGGTTTGTGCGGAGGCTCCTGGAGAGTTGCAGGGTGGAGGAGAAATCAAATGAAAGAGGAAGAAGAGACAGGTGATGAAAACATGAGGCTCTCGCAGCAGGAGATGTCTGACAGCCTGTTACACTGCCTGCACAATAAAAGCCCCCCTGCCAAACGCTCCCTCTACACGTCTAGGTGTGTCTTTGATAACGTATAAAATCCTCCAAAGTGGAGGTTCAGGCAGTCATTACAGCCGACAAGGGGCTATTTAAGGTGTGGAGCTGGAATGAGCGTTGATTAGTCTCAGACCTTTATCGACCTCCATCGTCCTACGAAGAAGTGAAATCTGTGTGGACTATAATTTACACAGTAAAATGAATGTATCACTGCTGCTTTATCAGAACATTAAAATACATGATTTTGATTCTGCAATCAAGTGAAAATGTCACTGTCCTGTCACTCATCTTAATGAGACGAGCTCAGTGGCATATCGAGAATACATTCTGAGCCTCATGCTAATAAGCATGCACATTTCTTATTTTATTTCTCCATTCTTCCATTAGTATAAAACAACCTTTTTCCAGTCTATCAGCAGGAGGCATCCCATTCTGACATAAAATACAGAAGAGTGATATCTCCAGGAATTTGAAGTCTAAATTACTTTTGGGTAATGTAGTATCATTAGCTTCCTCTGTTGCAATACAAATGCTTATAAGTTATTATTATTTTTTTTTAGCATCACATTGCATCAGCTAGCATCCAAGTTTAGACTTTGTTTTTTTTTGCCCAAGATTTAGCCGAATACAAATATTTATACCTCTTCTATATGTGCATCAGCTATGAAGAGAGTCACCTAGCTTAGCATAAAAGCTGGAAGTGGAGAGAAACAGCTCGCCTAGCTCTTCCCAAAGTTCATAAATACACTGACAGACATCAATTCAGTTGATCTATCTGACTTTAGACGTCTTTATAGAGACATTAAATAAATCTGAATGTACAGCATATGACTGACCTACAGGTTTGCATTACATCCAACAGGACTGTTTTTCAACATACAGTCGATTCCAAGCTAAAACTCTATTAGATGATAATACAATAAATCAAAACACTTCCAACACCAAAAACCTGCCTCACCCTGCTGAGTCTGCGTTTTCATACAGAATCTGTGAATCATTGTTTTCATACAATGATGAAGATACATTTTGACTAAAAGGATCATCATTCTGGGTACTTTGGATTATCTACAGACGATAAAAAAAATATTTACAGATAACAAATTCTAAGAAACAACAAATCCTTGTATTTTCTTTAACAATATTTTGCTGGTGGTTTCGGGACTGTGAGTTTCACTGTCTCTCTCTCTTGCAGCTACATCTACGACCCCTCTGTGGTGGTGGATGGGAGGAAGCCGGACTCCGCAGACAGCATGCTGTACCAGCCACACCGCCTCTCAGGGGGAGGCCCTCGCAGCGACCACAACAAACAGAAGCAGGGCATCCACAACCTGGGCTACAGCAAGTCCAACGACAGCACGCTGAAAATGGAGGCTGACAACAACCACGTCAACCACAGACTGCACGCTGCACCTTCACCTGCGAAGGACAGACAGGGGAACGCTCCACCTCCAGAGGTTTACATCATCCAACCTGATCCGAGGTGGAAGATTCAGGAGCGAGGCCCGAGCCAGGTGCCCATGTACCCGAACATAGAGGAGAACCAGAGGAGCTACGGTGAGCGAGGAAACCATCAGACAAAGAACGGGTGGGACAGCTCCATCACGATTGACAGTGGAATCCCGTCAGCCGACGAGGTAGACGAGGGTGTAGGAGGAACGCCGGAGTACCCCTGTGACACGGGCGATGAAGGTAGCATCCTGTCGGTGGACATCCACACCAGCACCACCAGCCTGTCCTCGGCAGACACCAGGGACGAGCGCAGACTGCCAAAGAATCCAGACGTGTCCACCGTGGAGAGCGGGATCTCCGTGATGAAGAGCGAGGACGAGGAGGAGTCGAGGAATGAGGAAGAGGAAGAATGTGTAGACAGCATCACAGACTCGATGGTGGCCGAGGCTCTTGCTGCTCTGGAGGCCGCGACAGCAGGGGAGGAGAGCGAGTGACAGACAGAGCGTTCGAAACCCTCAAGACTTTCCCACGCTCCTGAATGAAACCTCGGGGGATTCTATATCAGAACGTGGAACTAATGAAGGAAAACTGTTTACAAAACAAAAGGAACAGATTTAATTTGAATATTTTTGTATTCTGTCCACACTGACGGAAGATCAAGTCTGCCTCGTGAAGGAGGCAACTTCCCAAAAGCTGCGAGGTTTCACAAATAGAGACACGATCTTGTAGACTGTGAATATCACCAGCAGCCAAATTAGCCTAACACCTGTTAGCTCTTTTCAAACTGTTATATTTAACACTCCACAGTCCTAAAAGGCCTGTATGTGCTCATAGGCTGCTTTGCCAGATCCATACTGCCCAGTTACAGGTGTTGATCCAAAATTACCAATATGCTTCTCAGCTTTTTGCATCATTTTGGAGTAAAGCTATGCTAATTGCTAGCATAGAGTCATTATATCCTTGCCATTGCTTGCTGTTTTCTTCAGGAATTTTGCCCTTGTTTCACTTGGAAGAAAGGTCATATTTTTATACCCTTCCCATGTTCTTTTTTTTTGTCCTCTCTTTGTATTTATATTGTTCTTGACTCACATCATTTTAGATTAATTATGAGAAGAAAGTGGATGCTGCTTAAGTTTTGAGCAGCTGGGTTCAGCAGTTTATGAGGAGGCATTCTTTATTTATATCTTATTGTGTCATCTATTTTGTAAGAATCAAACAAAAGGAATATCATATCTATTTTAGAAAAATAAGTTTTCCACTTGTTTGATTTGCTGTCAATTCATAACATAAATCAATGCACAACATCACTGTGAGACTTTTTGTTTCATTGTAGCATATCAGAAGAGCTATGCACACTTGAAATCTTGAGCAGGTTACCAAAGAAAATAAGAAATAAGAGAATCATACATTTCACTGATAACACTTTAGTTTCTGTAGTTTTTTAACCTCAGCTGAACTTTGCGCTTTAAAAGTCCAGCAAATGTCAAATCCTTCAGAGTAAAACACACAGGAGCCATCAATCCACCCTAATAGATCACGTTTTCCTCCCTTTTTTTATAGGTCAGGTTTTGTGTTACTGCTGTTGCCAATCTGCAGCTTGTTTATGTGCCTAACAACAAACTCATTGAGGCTGAAAAAGCTCAGAAGTGTTTTAAATGCTAAATAAACTGATTTGCTACACAAACTTTCACTGCTCCCCTCCTTTCACTCATCGTTTGCCTGCCAAATCATCACTATTCAATATCATATGTTTGTAATGTAAAATAAAGGAATGTACTTTAATACATGGAACTCTGTTTTATGTATTTCTATGCAATTGGCATATTTAGATTTTTTTAAATGTGATCTAACATTTTGACGATTATTAGCCAGTTAGCTTTTGGTAGCTAGAGTAGAGAAAAATACTGTACTTTATGCAGGGCTGCAAAGTATTGATTCAAGATTGGAGTGAGATTTATTTACGATGATGTTATTGCACGCGTTCGGTTTAAATTTCAAACATTAGCGGGATGGTTCAAATAGATGACGACGACTGGTTTACCATCTTGCACTAGAACACACCGCAAAGACTACAGCCGACGGCCAACGACCACGTACACTCTGCGTATGCGTGATGGGCGACAGTAGATTTGAGAAGCTCATTTTCAACACTCTTATTATTATAGGTATTATAGGTAGCTTACTAATCGAGAATAATGTCTGATAAAAAGTTGAAAATGGCGCTGGCGTTTTCAGCCCTTGATCTTTTAGTGAAAAAAGAAAAGAAGAGGTGGAGGCGACAGGAGAAACCGTAGTAATGGGTGAAAGATTGGATACGAGCGGCATGTTCAAGAGCTTTCCCGAACCTGTGTCGAGAGCTGGAGATAAATGAAACCTCCCAACAGCCAATCAGAGAGATTCCTCTCACTGACCGCCAACGCCGAAAACGGTCCGACGGGATGAAGAGGACATTTTCTTGACATTTTGGACACTCTGGCACCCAGTCTCTTCTGATATTTTAGAGCTTTTAAGGTGGCAGGCCATTATTTAGTGATGGTAATTTGTAAAGTAGGCAAAGCTGCCTGGATATAATTCATTCTCTAGAAAAAATAAATTACGTTTTCAGTTTCATATGCTATATACTGAGATCAGTTAAATTATTTGTTCTCTTATAACTACCTGCTAAATCTAAGCTAAATGACTTTACAGTATATTCATTTGAAATTGCCTAGATGTTACATACTTTTTTATGTTTAGGCTACTTAGTATTTCTTTCAAGTGTCAAACAGGGAATGGACTTTTGGAAGATTCAGTGAAAGGTGTTGATGTTAGATACTTGTTTACGATTTCTTTCTCCCGCTTCAAGCGCTGTGGGACTTTCCTGTTTAAGCCCTCGCCATTGTAGGAGTAAGAAGCTCCGTGGGCAGCACCAAGGCCCCGTGGCCTCTCTAATGAGCTCCTCAGGGCTTTTTTTTTTGCTCGCGGAAGACACACACACGCACACACACACACACACACACACACACACACACACACACACACACACACACACACACACACACACACACACACACAAATTAGAATGTTTATTTTCATTGAAAAAGCAGTGATGTCATAGCTGCAGAGTTCAAAGTCACAGAACCCAGTGATGTCACAGAATTCTATGCCTGAGTCTACATACAGAGGTCATTCTGAAGATGATATTGTATTGTTTTACCTCGGATCTTCAACCTGACAGTAAGTACAGTACCTGCGACAAATAATCTCCTTGATCATTTTGAAAGATATTGAATTACGATTAACACAGCATCTGACAACATGACCACGGCGGGTTTATCAGAGCTTCAGTTAATCAAAGGGAGCTCTCTCGGACACTTCCACAAGGTGGAGGCCTTCCTCGGGGAGGGCGGTTTTGGTGTTGTTGCCAAGTGTCGCAACACCATAACTAACAAGTTTGTGGCCATCAAGGTCAACAAAAACGCCCCCGAAATTTATCACCAGGCAAGACAAGAAATTGAAATCCTGAAGCAGCTGCGTTGTCTCGATCCAGAGACATGCAACATTGTGCAATGGAACGGCTATTTCTTCTTAAAGATGAACATCTGCCTGAACTTTGAGTTGCTGGATTTAAGTCTGTATCATTACATGGAGGGCACACCGGAAAAGACTCTCCCGATAACAGAGGTGAAAGATGTGCTATATCAGCTGTCCATAGCCCTTTCCCATCTGAGCTCCATTGGCATTGTGCATGCAGACCTAAAACCGGACAACGTCATGGTTGTGGACCGCCACCAGAAGCCACTCAGAGTGAAGCTGATAGACTTTGGCCTTGCGAGTCGTGTATCTGATTGTCAGCCTGGAATGTGTGTTCAGACCACCTGGTACCGCGCACCAGAGGTGTGTCTGTACAGTGAGTTTAATGAGGCCATTGACATGTGGTCTCTGGGCCTGACAGCTGCAGAACTAGCTGTCGGATACCCTCTCTACCCCGGCAACATGGACTATGATGTGCTGAGCTTCATCATAGCAACTCAGGGTCAGCTTCCAGACCATGTGCTGGACCAAGGACACGCCACGTGCGATTATTTTAATCATGAACGCGATGGCCCACAACGCTGGAGATTCAAGACACGTTTTCAGTTCCAGTATGAGACGGGGTGCCGACCAGAAGACACAAGAGACTTCTGGCTAAGTAGTCTGGATGATCTTGAGGAGCTGATGGAAGTAAACAGAGGACACAACAGTGATCACGGTCTATTGGTGGACTTGATCAAAAAGATGATGCATTTGGACCAAGACCAGCGGATCAAACCCCAGGAGGTCCTGCAGCATCCGTTCCTGACAGGCAGCCTCCCTCAGAACTCCAGTGCTGACCTCTGCAACGATATGACAAACACTGAAGAGGCCGTCCCTGAAACCCGTCAGCAGCCCTCCTGTCCAGAGGACTGCAATGATATGACAAACATTGAAGAGGCCGTCCCTGAAACCCGTCAGCAGCCCTCCTGTCCAGAGGACTGCAATGATATGACAAACACTGAAGAGGCCGTCCCTGAAACCCGTCAGAAGCCCTCCTGTCCAGATGTCCGCATCGATATGACGGACATTAAAGAGGTCATTTCTGAAGAAAGTCAGCGGCCCTCCTGTCCAGATGTCCGCATCGATATGTCAGATATTAAAGAGGCAAAATCAGGGAACATCAACTGGTTCTATGGAATCACTGAAAGGATTAGAAAGACCTTCCAATCCTACTTCCTCATGACCCCACACAGGGGGCTTCAGAGAGGAACCGTAACCGTGGCTGCAGACTCTGAAGAAGTTGAGCTCCAGCCTGGGAGCAAAACTGAAAATGTCAGCTGGTTCACAGTAGTTTTCAGAGGGATTTCAGACATTTACCAATCCTACTTCCACAACACAGTCAAGATGCCACCAATGTGTTTGGCCGTTTGATCTTAAGTCGGGCCTGGAAGGTGGTGTAGTGATTGACCTCACGTAAAGAGGTTTCTGGTTCAGAGTGGGTTTTCTCTGGGTGCTCCAGTTTGTCCCACCATCCAAATACATGTTCATTAGGTTAATTGGTGACTCTAAATTGTCCATATTGTTCATTGGAGTGAGAGCAATGGACAGGATTGACTTGCAACCATTTCAAGTCAATAAATTAATAGTAATAGTAATTATAATAACAATAATATTAAATAAATAAATAATTGAAAGTAAATCATGCCATGTCTTTGCTGAATCATTGTAAGTCTTAAATGTTAAAGAAATAGAAACTTTTTCTTATCATCAATCATAAAGAATGCTGTAAAAAATACCCCAATACAGGATTAGTACAGTGATTTTTTATTTGACTATATTTGAAAGAAAACATTAAATAAATCAATGACACAAATTTGTTTTATGTCTGCCCCTAGGCAAGGCCAGTTTATTAATATAGCACATTTCAGCAAAAAGGAAATACAAAGTCCCTCATACAAGACATCAAAAGTATATCATCATGATGAAGGGAAAAGGGAGTCCACTTTGTGGACACTTCAAAACTTATTTTACTGATATTTCTGTCATTTTTGATGCTATGGCATTCATATTTACACAGGTGTGTATTTTTACTCAATTTGTATGATTTAAACAATTTCAGTTATAAAAAACCTATAATGCTCTGTAGAACAAAAAAAATGCAACACTTGTGACCCTTGTCAACTTTTTGGACACATCTAAAACCATTATAATCATGATTTCTGAACCTATGGTCATTGCAGCATAGACATGTAAATTTTACTATTATAGGCAATCAATCTGTAGACCAGACTTCAAATTTGTAGATTTCACCATTTTTTATCATATTGTGCGATTTTTCAATTTTAGACCACAAGCACAAATACATGCAATTTTCCTAGTAACCACTAGGGACAGTTTTGAAGCCCATAATAGTGCAAATAAAATGATATGTGAATGTAGACATGGTTGTCACAGAGTGATGTATGTGTGTAAAGAGAAATTAGTGTGTGTGTGTGTGTGTGTGTGTGTGTGTGTGTGTGTGTGTGTGTGTGTGTGTGTGTGTGTGTGTGTGTGTGTGTGTGTGTGTGTGCGCATGTGTGCGACTTTATGCAGCTGCAGTCGCAGCAAAATCTATATGTGCAAACTGAGGTACTGGTCATTTCATCCCTGAAACCATGAAGGGATACACCACACAGGAGGCTTTGGAGCAAGTGATGGAAACATCAGAGAGTAAGCAGGACTCAGAGGAAGCTTTGGAGCAGAGCTCGGAGGAGGACTCAGAGGAGGAAAGCTCTGAGACTGAAGATGAGCAGGATTCTGACTCAGATTCATCCAATGACACTCCGAAAACAAAGAGACAACTGTGCAGGCTGTGGATCGTGGATGGAGATCAAAAAATGGAGACATTGTCTGGTCTCCGACTAACTCTGAAACACTCCGTTTCGTCCGAGTGGCTAGTCTCAAACCAGGACCAACAAGGTACGCCATCTCCAGAATTGATTCGATTTTGTCATGCTTCCAGCTGCTTATGACTGACGACATGCTGAGAATCATTTTGGAAATGACAAACCTCAACGGAAGACAATCTGACCCACCTTGGAAGGAGATCGACATGCCTTGCCTGCAGGCTTTCCTCAGACTTCTCATCCTGGCTGGGGTTTATAGATCTGGGCATGAGGCAGTCGCCAGCCTGTGGGACCCTCACACTGGTAGA